TAGACCCGTCGTAATGAAATTTACTGACGACTTGGTACATTTCATGCGATCTGTACAAGATGAGGACCACCACCTCACCACGGCCCACATGGTCACGTGGATAAAGACCACCAACCAACCTGGGTCGACCAGTATTTAGGCGAGAAGGCGTCAGCAGGTACTGGTAACGCTGGACTCCTCGGCTTGTACAAACGCTTTGCTCACAGTCATGGATTTGCTCAGCGAGTTCCTTGCCTCTCCAAATGAAAGCAAACCGAGCTGTCTGAGAAAAAGGAAATATATATCTCAACGGTCCAAGCACAGCAACGTCCCATTGCGCGACATCATTAATGTCGACGAGACGGCAATGTATTACGACATGTGTGGTGCTTCGAGCTGAACAAGCGGAACCGCGTTGTGTACGTGTACAGCATGCACGACCTGACCGAGTCTTTGAGCCGGAGCGTTTCGGTGGGCAAGAGGGATTTGGTCGCGACGCATCGGGTGAGGAAGACATTCGGTATGGCCATGACCTGCGTCACCTACGACCGTGTGAAGCTCATCAAGTGGTGCTTGTTCGCGGTCGGTGCAAGGTCGGTAGGGACAGTGAGCATGGCATAGCAATCGAGCAACCCAGTGCCGGCATTTTCAAGGAAGACACGGCCGGACCGAAACAACTTGGACCGCTACAGGCATCACGAGGATGGGAGTCCGAAAGAGTAACGGATTCATGTATTTCCAGCAAAACTCGCCGTCCAAATGATATTGCAGCGCTACCCATTTGATCATTGTTTACTGGAGGGGGGCGTCCAGCGTCGGTGCCGCGAGTGTGTACAGGGTCTGAGCATCGAGGACAAAGTCACCGTTGGCCGAGCGGCTGAGGGACTCTGCCCGAAAGAACGTCGCCACCGCGACCAAAGATACATGAGACTGCTTGTGGCCGGCCATGCACGCCAGCAACGCATCGTAGCCGTCATTGCCAATGACGTTGCGTCTGTGTGCATCGCGTACACGAGGAGGTCGTCCATCGCATGGGCAGTGTCGAGGAGCTATGCGCCCCACGTCCGTGCAATGTGAAGGATTGTGCCGAATGAACGACAAGGAGTTTTCGTTCCATCCGAGCATGAGCTGAATCGCGAAGGCGCGGTCAAGCTATCTGGGGAAAAGAGAACGAGGGGGTAGTCCAACGTATCGTATGGTTGTTCTCGATGACGGTGCCGTAACTTCCTTGAGATCAGCCATTTTCGACACTATCCCGTCCAGAATCACGCCAAAGATTAGATTTACGAACAGCGCGTAGACCAGACACACCATAACACTCAGCGATCGCAACGTCAACAGCGTACACCAGCATCACGTCGGTCGTTAGTACGATCGAGTTTGCAAGCTCCGGGAGAAGTTGTACCTCATACGTTTGCTTTCCAAGGTTGCGACGGATGCGCGCCGTCGCCATCGTCGTCGCTCCCTTCTCCGTCATCCTTTCTTCGCCGTACATGGTGATTCTTTGAAGGGTCTGTTTGCAACGCCTGCATCGCATCGAGTGAGGCGAACGATGGCGGCGCTTGCACGTACCAATTTGTGTCGTCCAGGGTATACGTGACATCGTGGATGCCGATGAGCGGATGGGCAAGCGGTTATTTTGAATAAATTTTATCTTGGGCGAATCAAAACAGCTACAGAAGTACAAGGCATTTTAAATAGAAACATTTTTACACTTTCACAACTTCAAGTGTATAAATATATCTAAATCTACTATAACGCAGTGCATAAAAATTTCCATATAGACCGGAGTACCACTTTGTCGAGTTTTTATCAAATTAACTGTATATTGTGAAAGAATTAGAAGAACACTCGGTCACCCACGAGATCACACAAGCCCTAATTCATAACATGCTTGATGGACATTAAGACCACTCAATTGAACTCTATCCCAATGACTTAGAGTTCAATCAGAGACAGAGCACAACTCAATTTCACAAGCCCCACTGGGAAATTTATCTGTTTGAAGTCAGAGACTGACTGATTTGGAAAGTGCAATTGAACTGTCGAATATCTAACCGAACAATTCATAACTATGTGATAGAGTGTACTCTAAGTCATACCGGAAACAAATATTGACTTATGAAATCACACAGTCATATACGAAATCGCTCGAGTTCAATTGCACATCATGAAACATCATTGGATGGCAGCTCGTCATCCTTATCCAAAATCCTAAGAAACAATAATGGCAGATACATAGAATTTCACTAGATCAAGCTCAAAAGGGCGCCAAACCAGTCGACATACTTGCACCACAAAGCGCGAAAACCATCAAAAATCAAAGCGATTGAGCCACCCATTTTCGATTTTTCGCTCAATGACAAAGTAGCGCATGGCTGTGTCATTGTGGAAAACTTTTCGGTCGTTTGAACACGTTGTCGAATATTGTTGGTGGCACGTACACATGGAAGCGTGAAAATTACGATGTATTTTTCCAGATATGCGTCGCCCTCACGAATGTTCATATTCGTTTCATGCCATTGAGAGACGAAAATGGGCATGATTTGAATAGGAACATCAATGGGCTGCTGTCGTCGGGTAAGAAAAAGTCAGCAAAGCTAGCTGGTTCCGTCGCGATATCTCGCGAAAAGCGCAGGCGACTTTTCAGTTCTTTGTTTACCGACAATGTTCAAGGGAACTCAGACGTAGAATATTACGAGTATGACAGTGCTGATGGAAGTGGTATTTTTTATTAAGAATCCCTTATTAAGCAATTTTGGTTTTCTCGGTTCTTGTTTATGTGCAGCACAAAATTCAAAGTATCACAATTCTAACGAAATCACCAGAAGCATTGGTAGTTCACTGCGTAACTTTCAAAATATGTCTGATGATTAATCAATAGCACACTGACCTCGAATTTTCCCTGATGACTTGACATACAGAGAACGACAGTGGCCAAGCACCAACAAACCCTAAGCGGTAACATGAGCGATTTGTACAATGTGGTAAGTGGCCCCGTGGTATCCCACAACGTTTTTGGAATAAAAATATGGCATTGCCAATGCATTGCATGAGGTTAAGTAAACATTATTTTAACCAATAGGCGACATTTTTGGCCACGACGAAGAACATGATATGATGAAAACGTTTGTATACGTATATATTTTGATGAACTTTGTCGTAGAGATATCTCAGGCCTTTTCTTCGTTCAATCAATTTAAAATTTATACTCCTTACAATATATCGTGTAATCCGTCCTAAGCTGTAGAAATGGATGCAAATCAATAATTACTTTTCTAAG